ACAAACAAAGCTCTGTTCCACATTCTAAAAAGTAGTCCTGCTACAATTTTGTCTTTTTAGAGATTTCAAATGGATTACCACATACAGATGTATATAGATATATTTTAGAGTATAGATTCACTCATTTTGCTCCGTATGTAGTCACTTGTTGATATCTCTAGAAAGACAAATATTTAGGAACGGAGAGAGTATAACTTTTCCATCATTTTATGAAACTTTCAATCTTTAGTTCAAATTTCAATCTCATCGTTTAAATATCTTATGACTATTTTTTTTAAATAACTGTTACAAACAAAGCTCTGTTCCACATTCTAAAAAGTAGTCCTGCTACAATTCACGGGGGAGGGATGCCTGCTGGTTCAGTTTACACTAATTAGCAGTAGTGGTATCAACACATGCTCATGCACTACAGGGAGTGGACTAGGAATGAAGAACTGGCTCCGAATTACGTTTGCTGTCGATCCAGGCCTTCTCGAGGATGGCATGGAGAGGGTCAAGTCTTTCTGCCAAAGGCATGGCAAAGCCAAGGAGTTGAAGTGATATATGCATGGAGTGGGTTTGTCCAAAATAAATGTTTGATTGTGCATGTGCAACTCGCGTTGCATATGGGAGAAATCAAACTCAGAGGAATGTACTAGTGAAATTGAAGCACAATTATGTATCTTAATTATGGAAATCATGTCAAAATGTTAAACTTGAGTTTAATTCTGGCTCCACTGGCTTGCAGACTATGCCGACCCCGAAGATTTTCCCAGGCCTATAAACCAAAGTGGACGGTATGCATTTTTTTATTTTGTTAAAACAAAGGCATCAAAGCTTACGTGACACACTCAAGCACCACTAATCCGATTGCTAGGCCGTCATCTATATTGATTGAACAAAGCCTATGCTGCCATTTCCAAATCATCAAGTGCTTGCAGCCAAAGACTCCTATTAGCACATCCGAGAAACTAAGCCAACACATCATTTTAAGATTGACGAACTCGCCATAGACGTCTTCATAGTCGACGGGAACGTCTCCTCCCACCGAACGCACATCGCCGAACTGTCTAAAATCAATCCAGGAAAATGCGAGCACCAGTGTCAAGTCTAGAACTTGAACTCTGGTGGGGATATCACTGTCCTCCTAACTATCCAACCATAGGTTTAGTTTGTAAAGTATTTGCATATTAATACCTTTGCAAGTTAGAAAAAGAAAAGAAAAGGCTAAGTTGTGTTAATAAGAAAGAAAAAGAAAAAGAAAGTTAAGCTAATTGTTAGGTATGTAACTGAACTGGTTTACCTAAAATTATAGGTTGCTCGACCTAGTGAGTAGTTTAATTTGTTCAACAATCTATCAAAAACGCTTCGTGTGACCCAACCATACGTCCTC